ACATGCTGTGTTTTTTACGTCACGGTACGTGTGCTCCATATTCAATCACCCTTGTATAAAATGAAGGATATGAATACTGTGACATGCATAACGTGGTTTAATGCTTACCAGAGCTAGCCAATAAATAGGGCAGTCTTCCAATATCGGTCCCCAAAATTTCAAAGGAATATAAGTGAATTAATAGTACATATTTACCAAAGTGACTGAAGAAAGGTATTATTACATAATACTCTACAGAAGTAGAGTGGGATAATGACTTCTTTATCTCTGCTGGTGATGCCTTTGTTGGTGCAACCCAGCGTCCTGTTGGCTTGCTTCGCTGCTGCAGCACGCTATTCGCTCTTATCGAGCTTGTTGTCCACCAGGACCCCCAGGTCCCTTTCCACAGCTGCTCCCCAGCTGGTTACTACCTCTGAAGAGACCTCTGGAGATCATCTGGTCCAACCCCTCTGCCAAAGCAGGTTCACCTACAGCAGGTTGGACTGGAAAGTGTCCAGGTGGGTTTTAAATATCTCCAGAGAAGGAGACTCCACGGCCTCTCCGGGCAGCCTGTGCCAGTGCTCTGCCACCCTCAAAGTAAGGAAGTTCCTCCTCATGTTTAGATGGAACTTCCTATGTTCAAGTTTGTGGCTGTTGCCCCTTGTCCCGTCTCTGGGCACCACTGAAAAGAGTCTGGCCCTGTCCTCTTGACACCTGCCCTTTAGATATCGATAAGCATTGATGAGATCCCCTCTCAGTCTTCTCTTCTCCAGGCTAAACAGCCCCAGGGCTCTCAGCCTTTCCTTATCAGAGAGGTGCTCCATTCCCTCTATCACCTTCGTAGCTCCAACTCCTGGGTTATGTTTTCCCCAGTGCAAGACCTTACGCTTGCCTTTGCTGAACCTCGCAAGGCTCTTGCTAGCCCACTCTATCCAGGTCCTCCCGCAGGGTGGCTCTCCCTTCCGAAACGTCCACCTCCCCGCTCCGTTTGGTGCAAACTTCGTCGGGGTCCGCTTGATCCGGATCACTTACGGAGATATTGAGAGGGTTGGGGCCGGCATCGATCCCTCTTTATGTGTCGACTCTGTTCCCTTCTTCCTTCAGAGAACGGAGGGAGCGCGGCCCGCGGCGGGGACCCCCCCCCC